TCGATCTAATCTATTTATACTAGTGATGACGTATGAGGCTAATGATTTTTTCAAGCCATGATCATAGTTGCACGATAGCGTCGATATTGGATCATGCGTTGATAAAGTCGAGCTGGATACGTCTGATCAAAGATTATTCTGTCAAAAAGATAATCGATCGATATGTATAATTCCAAATATGTAAATATTTAATGTTATACTTTAAATTTCTACCATTTCTACCTTCATGCACTTTATACGTATTTTATATAAAAGTTTCTTTTTAGCTTGTATTGCTCACTAATTTCACATGCTAAATTTTAGGCTTGTGTTACTAATGCAGAATACTATTCCTGATGCGATACTAATCACGAAAACACCTTTTGTTTGCTTTAATAAAAGTTTTCTTCGAACAATTATATATATGCCATTAAAATACAATCTTAATCTAAACACTAGCCTTAACATAAAATAAAATTTTCACCATTACATGAAAGTGGATTTTATAGTGATACCGAGTTCTCAAAAAATTTTACAGTCAAATGTATCAAAAACGTCTCTTGGTAATATTTAGAATCTTCTGTTAACGTTGTTAATATTATTATTAGATACATGCGGAATTTTAGAGTACATTATTACGTACAGACATGCGTACGATTTATAAAGTTTAACCTCTTTAAGCGTCCTAACAAATAAAGGGCAATCAAATATGAACGACAATGTATATCCTTTTAATTATGTAGTATGACTGAGTATTAACACATCCAAAAAAGGTTGAATCCGAAAAAGAGATTTTTATTAAAGAAATAAAATCTTTTTTCCAAAAAGGATTAATGTTCATGATCGACCTTCAAGAGTTGTTAAAAAAATTTATATAAATTGCGACGGTTTATATACTGTAAATATAACACTTATAAAAATTATCTATAATGACTACTTGCGAGTGAGTGAATATTAATTTTAACTTTAGCAATACAGTTTTTCTGATTTAAGTTTATTTAATTTATTGACCGTCTGATAAATAGTTGGGCGTATAACATAAAAAATTGTAGAGAAGAATCAGCATTCAGAACTCTTTTGATAATAGGCACTGGTCTTTATGGATTATTGGGAATTAGCGATTTATTAATAACTTTTTTAAGAGCAAATATTCGATACAGTAAAAAATCAAATTGGACTACATTAGATTATTTTTTAATATGGGATTTGTTGTTTAGTGTATGTAAGTATTACATTTGAATTCTGCCATAGTTAAAACCAAAAATTCTTATAAAATTCTTATAAATATCAGTGCGTACTTTAGATTGTTTGATGGCCACTCTTAATCTCATCCCGCAATACATTTTATTGCGGGAAGTTTTGACTGGTATCTCATGGGCTCCAGGACCAATAGGTTTATATGTATACCTTTCCGGAGTATTTCTCTCAATTCCTCGGCTAAGTTTTGATAGATTAACCTGCACCAAAAACAATTGTAATAAGTATAAACATTCAATATGGATTCCTAACCCACAAAAAGTTAAACCAATTTTATGGATTTCGTCATTTATAACAACAGTTGGTCTTTTTATTTCATCAATAATTGCTGGATATTATCATGAAAGAGACGATGATGTGAAACGTTATATTGCATTGTCTGTAGAAATAGTAATTAGTTGGCTAATAAGTGTAACTATATTTGCTTCTGTTGTTTATTATGGAAATGTCCAGCTCTCTTTGGTACAAGAAAGTACAAAACTGGCAGGAATAGATGATAGGAATGATATCAAATTACGTCTTTATAAGGTATGCCATTTTTTTTATTTATAAATTGAAAAAATAAAACATGTTAAACATATTGAATTTAGAATGAATTTCCTCTTTTAAAATAGTTACGAGTTTTAAATTATGCAATAGGAATAAAATTTTCGTTATTGTCGATCTCTCTCCTTCCGGTTGCTCTTTTATATAATCATATCGCATCGAATTTTGTAACTAACTTCTTGGTTTGTTTGTGCTGTAACGTTCTCAACCCAATATTCGATGTGGCTTTGAAATTCATAATTATTTATTTGTTAGTATTGATATATGTTTTTTTTTTTTTTTTTAATACAATTTATTGAGATTTTAAACTGACTTGTCTCATTTTCAGAGAGATCACAACACAAAGATCATCCGGTAAGCAATAAGTACTTTTAACACAAGCAAAAAATAAAAACAAAAACATTAGTTTATATATTTTTAAATCTTCAGGTAATTCTAGTTGGAAGGATCGGTTTCATTCAGAGCTCGAAACTTACCCCACCTCAACTAGAAACAGTTCCGTTCATCCAATATGACGAACACTTCATTAATTAATCACTTGCTGTCGAAAATTTGAAAGTTACTCTTTAGATAACAATAAACAATTACTTGGCTATCATCTTTATATTGTATTCACTTTATTCATATCGTATCATTATAACTGACAAATATTTCAATACTTTGATTACATTAATATAAATGTGCACGAAAAATATGTTATAATTATTAATAACTAATTATCAATCCGCTTCTTGTAGACTATTTTCAAATTGTAAATTGCTTTCGTAGAATTTAATCAACTATAAAATTTATTCATTTATAAATAGTTTCATTTATAATTAGAATTTAATGGATTCATTTTAGAATAATTTATAATTAAAATTTAATAAATTCATTTAAAATAAAATTTATGAATGATTAAAAAAATTACCTGACGAGGACATTTCTGATGTACTTCTTGAGCTGTGTGATAGCTCCTAGTACCATCGTTCCTACGTATGTATAAGATGTATCACTTAAGCACTTAGAATGGAGTTATACATAATATATTTATGAGGTGAAAGCACAAGTTTTTTCCTTTAACATACCAAATTAATAGCATCAATAGTTGACTAGCAGAATAATCGAAAAAAACGTCAGAGATTGTTGCAAGATTTTCCCAACAACCTTCAATATAAACATTATTAATGGTATCGACACGATCATTATCTTGAGATCTTGATGTACCACGAGTCCGTGTTGACACATTACAAGCAAATCGAGTTGAATTTAGTGCATCATTAGAAACATCAACAGGTGAGTTTGCAATATTTTGGTTTTTTTTATTAGGAACTTTAACCTTATTTCTTGGGGTTGACTTTTGATTCCAATACTTCCTAATTAGGATTGGTGCGTAACTGATAATTTTCTGAATTAATTGTTAAGTCTTTGCATAAAACTAGGCGACAGATAAACATACACATTTCCTTCATCTTCCCATGAGTTATCTTCTGAGCCAAAGCCTTCCCATTTTATCAAATATTGCGTGGTTTCCTATGATAAAAAAAATCGATTTTGTAATAATTTTAGATGTTAATAAATCATAACAATATTATTGATTTTAATAATCTATTAATATTTCATTATTACATTTCGAGTCCTATGCGAAAGTATCTCTTCTACAACAAAGACATCTTCATCGAGATCGTATGTAGTTTGCATTTCGTTGATTGTCATTTCTGAAACATGAATTCTTGCAGGAATCTTTTGGGAAAAATGTATAATGACCAAAGGTGAATTATATCACAATTTATTATTCAAATATGTAATGACAAAAGGTTGTATTCTGTTACAAAAAAAGTATGTATAATTATCACCATTTACATGTAGTGATATCATTACTAAAGACTATTTAATAATAAATTTATTTCTAATGCCATGGTACAGAGACGCGTTATTTGTGAAATTTGATATAGTGATTCAACCCGGTTAAATGTTAGATTTTCATTGGTTTAATCACTCAGCTAATAATAAGTGATTGTCAGTTTATTTAAATAGAGTTTAATTTTGTTAGGCTTAGGGTTAGCAAATAATTAGTGTACTAGTATCATATGATTAGCCGGCTGATAAAACTATCAACCAATTTTTTTTTGATGCTTAGAGGCGATTTCGAATTCTACAGTTCTGTAGAATTCGGAAACATACTTGACATCGAATTTACCAGGTATAATTTTTCTGGGCACAATATTCTCATTTAAGTTTTAAAAATAACGATAATTAAAATTTTATTTTGATTAGCTGTAATATTATCATATGATGAGTAATATAATATATATATAGAAGAAAATAATTTGGTGATTTTCTATGATTAACTCAATAATCCAAGCAATTAATAGATTTGTTTAATTATAAATTTGCTAATATAGTATAGTTTTAAATGAGAAAATATTTAAGCGGGTCAATTGTGTTTATCATTATAATGGATATCTAAATATTAATCACAACTTGATAAAGTTTATTACTTAATTCAACCTTTTTTTATTAGTAAAAAGATTAAATGAGTTGTCAAATTCAATTTACAAACATATCTTTTTTTTGGCAAAAATTGCAATTAATAGAAAATCACTCAAGTAACCTTGTTTGGATCCTCATTCTGAATCAATGAATTACTATTTACTCCTTATACCAAGTTTTCTGTAAAATAAAAAATATGAGAAAGCCCGAAAAATATTACAGATTCTTACCACCTTTTGGACTTTACTCATATGACAACAAATTCATTTGGTATAAAATCCATTACTTGTTGGATGGCTTCCTTTTTTTTCTTTATTTTTTTGGTTTGTTTTTAATTTTTGATGACATTTGATAATAGAAGAATAATAAGAACCACTTAAGTATTCAAGTACAACCTTTATTTTGACTGATTATATTAAATGTGCATCGTTACGATAATAGTTACGGTACGATCCCCCGAGATTACTTCCCCTTTAGGGTCATTTTCCCGACATCACATGGGTAATAATTTAATAACAATATATACCTACAACTAATCAAAATGCTAACCCTACCTATATGATATCGGGCAAATGGGCTATAGAATAAATACTTTCGGGGAATTGAGCGATAATTACATCGAAGATAACGATATAATTATAGCTGACAATCACTAGCTAATCACAAGGTTTTGAGAACGCCCAAAGTTCAAAATCAAGCGCAACATTATTAAAACAAATGATTATGCAAAATTAAACCACATAATAATTAAGATTAGGGTTAGAAAAACTCAATAATATTAATAAATTTCACAAGAAACAATTTTATTTACCACATTAAATGGTCTATTAATTGGAACAGAATTTTATACAAGTAATTGTATATTTTAACAGCTATTTTAAAGCGCATTTTACTGCTCAACTTAAGATATCAATATTCTTTTATTGCGAGACAAGCTTTTAATAATTTGATTCAATAAACATCTTAAAAGAAAATCGCCAACCGACTATAATCTTATTTTTGAAAACAGAATTCTTGATACAAATATCAAGAACTTGAAGTTTGTTAAAGTTATTAATGTACTGTACATGAAATCGAAAAAATGCGTCTATATTTACTACTAACTGGCATAAAATTCCTACAAATATAAACGTTCCAATTTTTATGATATGGAAGTGGGTGTAGTCCATATAAAGTCGAAGCAATAATCTTCAAATAGCTTAAACATACGGGCGAAAATTTCCAGTCGGAACATTGTGAATATTAAAATTAAATGTGATGGTCTAAATTGCTATAGAGTAACTGTATAAAAACTGATAAGAGCTCGTAAATTATCTAAGGACCCATAAAGTAAACTATTTAAAAACTGATAAGCAACTGATAAGTATCTCATAAGAAATTTTACGATGATTCACTTTTAATCTCCAAATTTTGGTTCAAAAAACTTTTATGCATAATAAGAATTATAAAAATTGGAAATTTTCTCCCATACGAAATAAGCATTTGAACAAAAAATATTGTATTTATTGTACATTATATAATTAATAAAATATAATAATGTTGGCTCCTACTTAAGCCGTTTTAGGATCTAAAATTCATTTAAGTGAAGTTAGAACCAACTTTAATTGATTCTAAATCTACTACATATATTCCAATATCCACCTACAACATACCCCAGGTACAAAATTAAATTAGGGAAATACTCAGTAATCATGTGGATATGACTCAACCTATTTGAGATGTCCCAAACTGCGCGATGTATCAATAGTAAGTGACAATAAGTATTATGTATCTGGGCCAGAATTTGATTGGGGATGTCTGGGCCCCGCGAAGGCACAGACATCGACTGGTCAAATTCCGACCCAAATATGACAGTTTTGGTGCGTAGCATTCAATAACGATATTATCCGTTAGTAAAAAATTAACTAACGCTAATATAAAATTTAACAAATTTAAAACTATTTTATTTAACTTGGCATAAAGAATTATTTTAAAATGATTTTTTTTAAGGGTTAAAATATGAACTATTTTGTCTTCAGCCTATCAGTTTGGCCTACCTGGAGAATTTTAAAACGTAAGAAATGTGATAGATTAAAATGAATATCAGATTAAATTAAATGAGTGATAGTGTCAAGTAGACAAGCCACTGGAAAATACAAATTTTTGGAGTGCATTTTTTTAGAGTTAGGGTTAGGGTTTATGGGCTGAATTTATAATAAACAAGTTTTAGGGGATCAAATAGTGACCCTCATTTCATTACAATACAATTTTATTGTATATAGTTCATTATAAATGTTTGTATTCCTGAAAATCGCCTTTGTATGTTTACTAACGACTTAACTCCGAATCGAATTTTAACCTAATGGAAGATTCAGAATTAATAACTGATATTGTTTTGCCGACTGCATGGGATATTGAAGATAAATCACCATTTATTAACATAGATTCAAGTGGACTTAAAGTGAATTATACAGGTGAGATAAAAATTAGAAACCTCCCAGAAATATATTTAATTAATTTTAATCGTTAGTGGTTTATATCATCTAATTTATTAAATACTTTTAAAAGATCCTGATGATTATAAAGCTGCTATAATTTTGGCAAATCATCCAATCCCTTCACAATGTGAGATGTTTTACTTTGAAATTAAAATTATAAATAAAGGAAAAAACGGGTAATATTATTAATAATGTTTCGCATCACTGTCTTCGTTCTTGCAATATTTTTTAATAGTCATTTTAATTATATTTCTTGATAGAATGATTGGAGTCGGATATTGTACAAAGCAAAGCGGTAAAAAAATAGACGATTCGAATTATATAAATAACATGCTCATGCCTGGTAATAGCAAATTTGTGCTTTATTTCATATTATCACAGATTAACATCTATAAAATTCTTAGGACAGGAATATAAGGAAAATAAGGAAAATGAGGAAAATAAATCATGGGGGTGTGGTT